GAAAGAAAGAAAGGCAATGGGAAAGAGAGAAAGAAAGAAAGAAAGAGGGAGAGAGAAATAAAGAGAAAGAAAAAGAAAGAAAGAGAGAAAGAAGAAAGAAAGAAATTTATACTCCCAACTCTAGTCTCTCTATAGGAGAGATGAGAAGTGTAAACATTTAAATAAAATAAAATAATTTTGATAACTCGCTTTTAGATTGAGAAACAACGCAGCGACCTGTCCCGGGAACTGGAAGAGCTCAGTGACAGACTTGAAGAAGCTGGAGGAGCCACCACATCCCAGGTAAACATACATCAATCAAGGTAGCTGATGGCTGTGCCATGCCCATTTCACATGCTGAGAAACTGAGTCTCCAAAGAACGAATCCCCCACAGGACACCCAGCCATCTCTCTTTTGTATGTTTTTTCAAGTTCTGGAAGTCACGATGGGTCAGACAATGTTGAGGACCCCTCATCAGAGCAGAGTTAATTATTTTAAAGGGAGAGGATGAATTATTAGAATTCTTTTATTGGCCAAGTGTGATTGGACACCCAAGGAATTTGTCTTGGTGCAAATGCTCTCAGGGTATCTAAAAGAAAAGATACACTCGTCAAGAGTCAAGAATCATCAGGTACAACACTTAATAATAGTCATAGGGTACAATAAGCCATCAAATCCTACTAGGAAACCGTCAATATAAATCATAAGGATACAAGCGACAAAGTTACAGTCATACAGTCACAAGTGGGAGGGGATAAGGAGTGATGAGAAGATTAATAGTAATAGTTGTGCAGACTTTGTAAATAGTTGGACAGTATTGAGGGAATTATTTGTTTAGCAGAGTGATGGCATTTGGGGAAAAACTGTCCTTGGGTCTAGTTGTTCTGGTGTGCAGGGCTCTATAGCATCGTTTTGAGGGAAGGAGTTGAAACAGTTTATGTCCAGGATGTGAGGGGTCTGTAAATATTTTCACGGCCCTCTTTTGGACTCGTGCAGGATGCAGGTCCTCCATGGAAGGCAGGTTGGTAGCCGTTGTTTTTGCTGCAGTTTTTTCCTGCAGTTTTTCTACAAGGATGCCTACCTTTGATTCCTTCTCTTCTTCCTGCGTCCAGATTGAGCAGAACCGCAAACGGGAGGCTGAGCTGCTTAAGCTCCGGCGAGAACTGGAAGAAGCCGCCTTGCAGAGCGAGGCCACGGCTTCCACCCTGCGCAAGAAGCACACCGACGCCATGGCCGAGATGACCGAACACCTGGAGAACCTGCAAAGGGTCAAATCCAAGTTGGAGAAAGACAAGCAGGTCATGAAGGCCGAGATTGATGATCTCAGCAGCAGCATGGAAAACATCCAGAAATCCAAGGTACGGACGGACCGAGAAAAAAAAAGCCGTTACGCGAGGCTGGGAACACCAACCTGAGGGTTGGATCCTCTACCAGCATCTTCTCTTGGTCATCCTAGTCATTGGCACATGGTTGAAGAGGCAAAATGAGGAACATGGTAGATCTTTCCTGAGTCCTTTGATGGATTGAGTTATTGGGTGGTGTACTGTGGTGGAATAGGGTCTGGATTCCCAGAAGGGAGGGGCTGCATTCCAGAGGACCGAGGGACAGCAAAGTTTAGATCAGGCATGTTCAAAGTTCAGCCCGGGGCCCAATTGCGGCCCTTTTTCAAATTTTGAGTGGTATTCTGTCCTGTACAAAGACAGATAGATAAACTCCACAAAGCATCCATACAAAGTCTTTTTTATTGGTTCATCAGGCATCCTCAATAACTCACAGTTATGACAAGATTCTTCTTAATGTCCAATCCTTTGCATATCTGACTTTCTGGGTAAAAAGAGGGTTATCTCTTCCCTTTCATCCCATATCGTAGAAGCAGGGGGTAGAGCCGCTAACACGAGGCTGTGTTCAGGCAAGAGCGAAGAAACCTCCCCCGACCCACCGAGGGTCAATTCGGTGACCAATCAGGGTTACAGATGTGGCCACTTGACATGAACTACATTACCCAGAATACCTTAACTACATTTACCATGATGCATTCCCTTAAGGGGACAGCTCTCAATTCCTAACTAACTATTCCAAATCCCATTAACTCTGAACTGTCCGGACAGCACAAGTGGCCTTCAGCCTCTTCTCCCCGCTGGCTCAGCCTGTCACTCATCCCTGCCAGCCAGTGTTTTTCCCAGTTCATGTTAATGGTTCAAAGAACGTCTGGCCCCAACACATTTTCACCTCATGAAATCTGGCCCTCCTTGCAAGAAGTTTGGACACCCCTGGTTTAGATATTTTGATTGGGAGGAAGAAAGTCAGGTCAGCTCCTCCCTAGAACTTCTGAATATATATTTAATGATGCGAGTAGTTCCTTCAGCCTGGCAAGATTCTGTCTATAGGCGAGGAACGATAAAGGACATTACTGAAGAGCCTCAGTGTGTCTTTTGTGGTTCTGGGGGCCTAACAAGTACCACACTGTGGTGAGTGACCTGCAGCAGAGTCCAGTCCCAAGAGTTGAAGTTGGTTTGCTGAAATGTAAGCAGGAATTCTGGGTTATTCTGAAGTTGTCTTCTCCTCTACATCCTTGCAGATGAATGCTGAAGGTCATGTGCGTCGGTTGGAGGATAACCTGGCTGAAGCCAACTCCCGACTGGCTGAGATGGAAAGGAATCAAGCAGAAATCAACGCCATCAGGAACAGACTCCAAGGTTGTTTCCTTGGGCGATCTCCCGAGTTCCACTATTTGATTTTGTTTCATTTCATTGAGTGATCCAACTTTAAAACATTTTCACCCTAGTTGCTAGCAATTCCAGCCTCATGTCCTTCATTGTCACACCCTCATGTCTTTAGTTATTCATTCATACCTCGGAGAAATTGTGTTTCCCTTTTTCAAGGAAAGTTAGGTGCACAATGGGCGACCTTTGAAGGCTAGGTTCCATTTATCTTGTCTCTTCATATGTTTTAGTCTCCAGTCCCCTAATGACCCTGGTTGCTCTTCTCTATACTCTTTCTAGAGTCTCAACATCTTTTTTATAGTGTTGTGACCAAAACTGGATGCAGGACTCTAGGTTGTTGTGAAGCATTAACTAACGAAGTATGGTGAGATGGATGGAGAAATTAATCAATAACCCAGTTCTCCATTCTTCTACCCTGCAGCTGAGAACAACGAGCTGAGCCGAGAGCATGAAGAAAGTCAGGCAAGGCTCAATCAAGTCCTTCGGGTCAAGACATCCCTCACGTCCCAAGTGGACGACTTCAAGCGACAACTGGATGAAGAGTCCAAGGTAAGAACTCCAAATTCACCTGGTTTTGAAGGTTGAGAATCAGAACATGCAAAGACTCCACGTGTTGATATTCCTCACGTGGGTTTTGTCCAGATCCCCAACATCCTGGAGAACCTTCTTCATTATGTTGTAGGAGAAACTGGTGGTCCTAAAAAGCAAATAGTATAATCTTGGGGGACATCTGCAAAAATCACAAGAGACTTTGACTTTTAAGGAGATAGTCAAGATTTCCCAGAAATTCAGAAATTAACTCTCCATAAAGCTTGCGTTCTGATAATTAAACTATAAGTGCCTAGTAATGATTTTCATCTGGTTGGGCCTGAGGATTTTCCCAAGAGAAACTATAAACAAAAAACAAAAGAAATATGGGGGAAAGACATTAATCAGCTACAACTGTGGTTGTCCTTAGGCCCGCAGTGCTGCAGTGGTCAGTCTGGCCAACACCAAACATGACCTGGATTTGATCAAAGAGCAGTTGGAGGAAGAGCAAACCGGCAAAGCTGAGCTCCAACGCTTGGTCTCCAAGCTCAACACCGAAGTTACAACCTGGAGGACCAAATATGAAACCGATGCTATTCAGAGAACTGAGGAGCTGGAAGAGACTAAGTGAGTAAGGCGATAGAGCAAGGTTATAGGTCTAGGACAACCTGATGAGGGATTCTGAGAATTTCAGCGATATCTAGAAGGCTATTGTTGTTGTTTGACCTATCTCATATCTGGGACATTTTTTCCTTGTCTTGGGATGTGCTTGCAGGAGAAAACTGACCGCCCGTCTTCAGGAGGCGGAGGAAACGGCCGAAACGGCGCAAGCTCGGGTAGCCAGCATGGAGAAGTACAAGCAGAAGCTCCAGATGGAAGTGGAGGATCTAACTTTGGACCTGGAAAAGGTCAAATAACAAACGTTCCTGGGGATAAGGGTCTCTTCTTGGCAATGAACTGCAACTGGCTGGTTTGCACCATGGGGGTATGGCAACCCCAAAGAAACCAGATAAGATTTATCATCATGTGTGAACTCAGCAAAGAAACTGGTAGAAGCAAGTAAACATTGAACTCAAATGTTAGGGTAACAAAATCTACTCAGCAATTGCAAGCAGGCTCATTGATAGATCTTTCTGATCTTGGAAGGTGGTGAGGCCAAATAAACGGCTTTCCTTCCCTGGAAGTTCCCTAGGTGGTTTTTGAGACCATAGTTTGTTTAAAACGGGAGAGCAACAATTGGATTTGTTGTGAAATCTTGGAGATGTGATTGTGGAGGGCTCTAGAAGCAGCAAAAATGGATTCTGAAGGGCTACAATTGCCGACTTCTGGTTTAATATGATGATTTAACCATGTCCTATTACCCAAAATGATGTCACCAAGATTAAACGGTTAACCGAAAATGATAGGCACCACTCGTATCAATAAATATCCTGCCAGATTCAACTTCAGTACCAGTTGTGGGGTCCTACCTTGGTCACTACCAGTTCAATGGGTGATTGTGTGTGTGTATGTGTGTGTGTGTGTGCATGCGCCCCTAACACACCAATCAGCTGAGAGGATGAAGAAACGGAATGCTAGAGTGACCTTCCTACCTACCCATGCGCTTCTCCTTCTTTTATCCTCTCAGCTGATCGTTGGAGGAACTGGTTCAGTTGTATGAGTAGGTTTTTTTTTTCTACCTGTTCAGTTGAACCAGGCCAAACCAGTAGCCTATCACCACTGATCAGTACTGAAGAAGTTCAGGTTGGTTTCTTGTTAGTAGGAACCTCAGAAACAGAACGATGAAGACCTAGAGACAAGTCTTGAAGTTCAAGCAAGACCATCAGTGATGGACCTTGCGGTTGAGGGTGACGCTTGTCTTCTTCTCCTTCCCAGGCCAATGCAGCCTGTGCAGTCCTGGATAAGAAGCAACGGGCCTTTGACAAGATGCTGTCTGAATGGCAGCAGAAGTGTGAGGAGCTCCAACTGGAAGTGGACAATTCCCAGAAGGAATGTCGCATGTACATGACGGAGAACTTCAAGCTCAAGACGGCCTATGAGGAAGCCTTAGAGCAGCTGGAAGCTGTGAAGAAGGACAACAAGACTCTTCAGGGTGAGTTCAGGAAGTCCTCTACAACAACCGTTCATTTAGCAACCACTCAAAGTTACAACGGCACTGAAAAAGTTGACTTTTATAACCACTTCTCGTGCTTAGATCTATCGCAACATCCCCGCTGCCATGTGATCAAAATTCTGGACCTTGGAAACCACCAAGTATCCTAAAAGCCCCGGGGTCATGTGATCGCTGTTTTGTGACTTTCCCAGCTGGTTTCCGACAATAATAAGAATTGGAGTACAGCTTGGAAAGGACCTTGGAGGTCTTCTAGTCTAACCCTCTGCTCTGGCAGGAGATCCTATATCATTCTGAGCAAATGACTGTCCAATCTCTTCTTAAAAACCTCCAGTGTCCACAATTTCTGGAGGCAACTTCTGTTCCACCGGTTAATTTTCGCTAGGAAGTTTCTCCTTTATTCCAGGTTGCGTCTCTCCTTGATTAGTTTCCATCTGTGGTTTCTTCTCTTGCCTTGTGATGCTTTGGAAAATAAATTGACCCCTCTCTTCTTTGGGGCAGCCTATGGTCAGCTTGAATACATATCTGTGCAATGCATCTTTTTTTTTCCATTCAGAGGAAATCAAGGATCTCATTGACCAGTTGGGTGAGGGAGGAAGAAGTGTCCATGAGCTGCAGAAGATGAAAAAGAAGTTGGAAATCGAGAAAGATGAGCTTCAGGTGGCCCTGGAGGAAGCTGAGTCTTCCCTGGAGGTAATGTAGCATCTTCCGTGGGGTTAGTCATTCTGGGTCTCCTTGGTCACGCATCCTTGCTTCAGAGAAGCGGGCGCAAGGATTCAGACCCTCCAGGGAATGCAAAAAGTTTCCTCGCCACATGAAAAGAGCGCTGGGACTCCTGTTTGGGGAAACTGACGCCAGGGTTCTCCTCCTCTGTTTGCTAACAGGTGGAAGAGAGCAAGCTGATTCGCATTCAGCTGGAGCTTGCTCAAGTCAAGGCAGATATTGACAGGAGAATCCATGAGAAGGAGGAGGAATTTGAAGCCACAAGGTTTGACTAAACTTTTCAGCTTCGCAACTGGGACCGTAGCATGCTTGCTGCCAGAGAGCTAAAGATAGAATTCAGGCTCGCTTGTTGTCAGAATTCCAGCGATTAAATCATTACTTAAATCATGATCCTCGGGCCGAACTTCAAAAAACTTCAAATATTTTATTAGGAGCGACATACTGGCGTGATCTGTGTGAAGCCGAGTCTTGAGATATGTACTTTACGATCACCTATGACCTCGCTTCCACCCCAATCTCCACCCTCTGGGTGTATCATAATTCAGATTGTCAAAGGAACACATTCGTGGGCTAGGGGTCATCAATCACATTCTCCAATAGAGGATTTTCCTGCCCAGAATACCCGGTGGCCCCAGTTACAATCTCTGTAAGATAAGTTTGGAATATTCATTTGCCATCTGCTCCTTAAGAATCAGACCCCCTTTTGCTGGTGCCACAATTCCGATTATCGCCATAATGGTGATGTGGGTTGGGGGAGATGGAATTTGTGGGCCACTTCACCTGGGAGGGGCTGCATTCCAGAGGGCCAAGAGACAGCGAAGTTTAGATAGCTTGGTTGGAAGGAAGACGGTCAAGTCAGCTCCTCCTTAGAAGTTCTCAGAATATGTGCAAGTACTTCGCTTTGCTTTGGCAAGATTCTGTCTATAGGTGGGGAAGGATAAGGAAAAATGCTTAGAAGAATCTCAGTGTGTCTTTCTTGGTTTTGGGAACCTAATAATGACCTTCGCTCGCTTCTGTAGAAAGAACCACCAGCGTGCCATCGAAGCTCTGCAGTCTAGCCTGGATCTGGAGGCCAAAGGTCGAGCAGAAGCCCTGCGGCTGAAAAAGAAGATGGAGACAGACCTGAATGAAATGGAGATCCAGCTGGACCATGCCAATAAGAACAACAGTGAGCTGGTCAAGGCCTTGAAGAAACTCCAGCAACAGCTCAAGGTGAAAAAAGTTACAGGAACGGTGACCGGAAAAGAGCAGAGGAAAAGCAATAAGTTTTGAGTCTTCTTCTCCAACTCCTGTTTTCTTCCCAACATCCATCCCATGAGATAGGTTGACCTGACCTGACAGAACATCTGGTCCAAGGTCACCTAGGAAGCTTCTGTAGATGAAAGTAGACTAAGAACCTGCTCCTCATCCAACTCTTTCACCACTCCACTTCACTGGTTCTTTCTTGAGAAGGTTCCCAGTGTTGGAACCTTCATCTAGAAGGAACCAGTTGAACATCTAGCCAGGCCTTCAGAGCCAGCAAAAAGTAAAGCTATCCTAAAAACTTAGGTTACAACTCAGAAGGAATGTCACTGAAGGCTTATTGTAGGACATGAATTAGCAAAACTGTAATATATGTCTACGAGTAGGCCCTTAGAGTAGGGGTCTCCAACTTTGGCCACTTTAAGACTGGTGGAGTTGAAGTCCACCAGTCTTAAAGTGGCCAAGGTTGGAGACCCCTGCCTTAGAGAATTAAGTCCTTAAGAACTTCACTTACCTGTTTCCTCGCTATACATGACCTTGTTTTTAAGGCAAGCCCCATCGTCCCAAGCTCTTGTCCTATCCGAGATACAGGTGGAAGTTTCAAGGCAGCAGGTAGACTTAAAACTCCATCCTGGACATATTTCTTGGATCTCCACCCCCTGTTGATCAGGGTTGAAACCTGGTGGCTCAGACTAAGCAGGGTCTTCCGACACTTTTCTGCCCCCAGGACATGCAGATGCAGATGGACGAAGATGCTCGCCAACACGAGGAGCTGAGGGAACAGTACAATCTCCAAGAACGCCGGCTCAGCCTTCTCCAGACAGAGTTGGAAGAGGTGCGCACCGGCCTGGAGGGCAGTGAACGCTCGCGGAAACTCATCGAGCAAGAATTGGTGGAAGTCTCCGAAAGGCACAACGAACTCAATGTTCAGGTGAGTCAACACCTATGGCCTCCACCTTCTATGGGGAAGAAGGAACGGAGCGTGAAAAAAACAGACCGTTGGCTCGGTTTTTTAAAAAAAATTAAACCAGTGTTTTTCAACCTGGACGATTTTCAGATTTGTGCAAATCCGTCTGGGGAATTCTGGTAGTGTTGAAGTCCACACATCTGAAAGTTGACAAGGATGAGAAATGCCAATTTAAATAATCATTTGGGGAACGGGTACTTACCAGGGGTGGGATTCAAATTTTTTAACAATGGGTTCTGTGGGGGTGGCTCAGTTGGTGGGCGTGGCTTGGTAGTCATGTGACTGGCTGGGCGTGGCCAACTCAATATCACTCACATCGAGGCACACATCTCCCTGCCTGGCCTCTCATGACTGTGAGGATGCTGCAATAGTCATAAGTGTGAAAAATGGTCCTAAGTCACTTTTTTCCAGTGCCATTGTAACTTTGAATGGCCACTCCACACAAGCAAAGTACCAGCAAAGGAGGGGAAAATAACTCCAGAGACATTCCTGAGACAGGAAATCTAGTCCTGCCAAAAATGTAAAAAGGGTTAACGGAGAGGCAGTTTCTGTAAGCAACACCAGAATGTTTCCTTCCTGCCTTCCTTACAGGATTAGCCCAGTAATTTCTTCTAACAACCGGTTCTCCGAACTGCTTAGAATGTTAACAAGCGGTTCTAGCGAATAGGTGCGAACTGGTAGAATCCCACCCCTGGTACTTACTTAGTTCTGGCCATTGTATCAAGAAGAGAAGACAAGAGCGGAATTTAAATCTTATCTCAGGCAAGAAATAACCCTATCACTTTTAACTATTACATTTTAATCTACACATTACACAAACTTCCCAAACTTTGCCACATCTCAGTCACCAATCTGGCCTTGTGAAGGTATAATGAGGAACAAATATTGTCAGTCAACAGCTGATTTACCACCATCTTATCAGTTACTTAGGAGGTGAGGGCCAGCGGTTGCACAAGGAAACAACAATCAATGATTTAGTAGCTGGCCATCAACACCCTAATTAACAACTAAAAGCTACACACAACCAGAAACCCCATAAATACAACATGTAGAACAGCCCAACGCACGAATTCTGGAGAGAGTGAGAGAGATGTTCCCTTAGGATGGGCTCCAACGTAAGTCCCAAAGCTTGGAAGAATAAAACTCTGGTCCCAGTTCAGATTGGATCCTGAGACAAAACTTAAATTAAGTTTGGACAGCCTTCTGGCCTTTGCCTATGCAAACATGGCTGGCCATCCTGAAGGAGGACTCATGAGCCACGGTTTGAGCTCCCCTGGTTTAACAGGTCCTACTTTGAGGTCTCCTCTCTTCTGCAGAACCAGAGCTTGCTGGTGATCAAGCGTAAGCTGGAATCTGACCTCACGCGCATAACCAATGAACACGAAGAACTCATCAGCGAATTCCGATCGGCGGATGAGAAGGCAAAGAAAGCCATGGCGGATGTGAGTTTATGGTTCTGGATCCGGAAGGAAGCTTCAACAGTGTACTCCTTCGAATGACAGAGCCCTTTTATTTTTTATTTTTATTTTTATTATATTTTATCTTATCTTATTTTTATTTTATTTTTACTTTAATTTTTTTTCTTTTTTAAAATTATTTTTCTTTTATTTTTTTATTCTTCCTCTTTTATTTTTCATTTTATTTATTTCATTTTATTATTTTATTTTATTTTATTATTTATTTTATTTTATTTGTTTTGTTTTTTTATTTTTCACCCATCTTGTAACAGAATGAGTTTTTTAACATTTTGTTTTCTTTTATTCTTCTTCTTTTCTTTTTCTTTTTCTTTTCTTTTATTATTATTTTTATTTCTTTTATTTTTTATTATTTACCCATCTTGTAACAAACTGAGTTTTTTATATTTTATTTTATTATTTTCATTTTCTTTTAGTTTTTCTTTTTTTCTTTTATTTCTTTTATTTTTTTTCTTTTATTTAATTTCTTTTCTTTTCTATTTTATTTTTTTTAAAAAATATTATTTATTTTTCACCCATCTTGTAACAAAACCATACCTTTTTCAAAGGTGTCCTTTGCCCCTGGGAGCTATCATTGTTGCCTAGAACTTAGGTTGCCTTTGTCTCTTTGAAGGCACATTGGACAAAGCAGGGATGGTCAATCTCTGGGCCTGCAAATCTTTCTCTAGGAACTTGGAAAATTTAAATTTAAAATTATCACGTTTGGGTGAAGTTCACCTCTCTCCTTCCAGTTGTTGATTCCCTTTCGTTTCGTTCCCTTCAGGCCGCCCGCATGGCTGAAGAACTGCGGCAGGAACAAGATCACTCCATGCACTTGGAGAAAATCAAGAAGAGCCACGAGGTCACCATCAAGGACCTGCAGGTCAAGATGGAAGAAGCTGAGCAACTGGCCTTGAAAGGTGGGAAGAGGACCATCATGAAGTTGGAGGCTCGGGTAAGAACCTCTCTCCACTCCCCACCCCCATCCAATTACTAACACTTCCCACGTTCTTTGTGGCATCTGACCAGGATCATAGGACATACAGTCTGTTCTGATCCAAGCTTCGTAAACAGTAATCACACACAAACTTATTTTTAAAACAAAACTTATTTTATTGCAAGGCTGGGAACTGTTTTCATTCCCAGCCGGAATTAATCTCAAATAGTTCCCCAAGATAAGCACACACCTTTCAGTTCTGTGAAGTGCTGCCAAAAGCAGAAGTATCAAATTAACTAGAAAAGAAACCAACCGAAGTACAAAGAGCTTCAAGGATGACTCCGAACTAATCAAACTACTTTGCTTCCTGCAAAGGTTTCGTTATCTTGGCCTGAGTTTTATCCCTTATGGGCGGGGCAATCACCTCCCAGCCTTACCCCCGAGTTGCCCCTTTTGTTTCAGCTGCTCTTGCCTTCTAGCAGTTCTGCCCACACGCGCACTGGGAACAGGCTCCCCTGGGTCCTCCGCCTTGCTGCTGCCAGACTCCAAAGGCTCTAAAGGCAGTACCCCACTCCCAGATGGTCCTGGCCCCATCTCTGCATCGGATGCAGGACCCTTGTCCAAGTCCTCTCCAGACTCCCAGACTGGTCCCCATTCTTGCCCACTGTCCGATTCCGCTGCTGGCTGCACCGGCTGCTGGCGAACCACAACAGAATCATAGGGTGGTCAGGGTATCTTGGAAGTCTTCTACTCAAACCCCTTGGTCAAGGCAGGAAACCTTAGACCATCCCGAATAAGTGGGTTTTATGGGGAGATTGTAGTAGCCTTTTCATGAATTGAAGGTCTGGAAGGACCTTGGAGGTCTAGTCCAACGCCCTGCCCAAGGCAAGAGTCCTTACTCTATTCTGGATAACTGGTTGTCCAATCTCTTCTTAATAACCTCCCGTGATGGAGCACCTACAAGTTCTGAAGGCAACCCGTTCCACTGAATAATTGTTTTCCAATCAGGACTCCATCCCCGAGGGAGATACACCTGGTTGGACCCAGAAGAAGGGCCTTCTCTGTGGTGGCTCCCTCTCTCTAGAGCATCATCCCCCCCCATCAAAGATTAGAATGGCCCCCCCACTCTAGCTTTCTTCCGGAAGGCACTGAAGACCTGGTTTTGCCAGCGGCCCTGGGGAAACCAAAGCAGGATAGTGCCCATCAAAGGGCTAGTGTGATCCGCTGCCGGAGTTGGAGGTGCTTTTTTATTTATTTTTTCCCCTATTGTACTTTATTAATTTATTTGATTCGTTTTATTAGCTTTGATTGTTTTTTTATTTTAAATACAGTTTTACATTCTGTAAGCCGCCTCGAGTCGCCACAGGCGAATAGGTGGCAATATAAATTCAATAAATGAATAAATAAATTTCTCCTTAGTTCTAGGTTGGTTCTCTCCTGGGTTTGTTTCCGTCCATTGTTTCTTGTCCTGCCTTCAGGTGCTTCGGAGGATAGCTTGACCGCCCCTCTTCCCTGCCCCTCAAATATTGGAAGATGCTGTCATGTCGCCCGCTAGTCCTTCTCCTCTTTAGATTGTCCATACCCAGTTCCCTCAAGTCAACCATCACATGCTTCAGCCTCCAGACTTCTTATTTCTGTTGCTCTTCTCTGCACACTTTCTAGAATCTTTTCTTTGAATCGTGGTGACCAGAACTGGAGGCGGTATTCCAAGTGTGGCCTCCCCAGCGCAGGAAAAAAAAAAATGGCACGATCGTGTCCCGTCATCGTGCCCGTCTTATG